GGTCGGAAGTGGTGGTTTGTACAGCTGATTGTCTTGGACAGGTAGTTGTTGGAGCAAGTTTGACTGTAAATTCACAAAATTAATGTTTTCGTGGCAGACACATTTCTTGTTTGAGAAGGGGGCTAAATCGGTCAGACAAAACGGGGGTGTAAAGAGCATTTAAGATCTATTACTTAGCCTTTTCGGATAAGGGCGAAAAATCTCGGAGGTCTCGTGTGCACCCACACGTTTAAGTTCCAAACGCAGTGGGGAACAACTTCAATACGCCTTCAACACGTATCTCAAGCCGAACGTACGCTGCACGATAGAACTGACAGTGCTGCAAACGCAGCGCAATACAACGTGTATTCAACTTCTGCACTACAATGACACGATGACTTGAACCAAGGCGAGGGCCTAGATCACCTGACAATCAGGCTAAATCTAAAGTGCCCCTTACAGGCTCACATTTGTTTGATGGTTTGTTCAAATACGTTTGACACATTTAAAAAAAATAATTTTTTTGATCGTGTATGGGCGTGTTTGATGGTCAAAATAATTTGATGTCACATATTTGACGGATCTGTTTTCAGTTTTTATTTTTAAAATTTTTGTCTAACCGTCCAACTAAATGATCGTGTGTGGGCTTCATCAAATTTATTTATCCAAACATTATTTTTTTCAGATGCTGCCGAATAAAAAAGATCTACGTTTTACATCATCATGGCGCCTTCAAAGGATAAAAAACGTATTCTGGAGCTGATTGAAGTGTACAACAGTTTGCCAGAACTATGGAAAGTTGAAGTTAAAGAATATAGAGACCGAGATTTTGTTGAAAAAGACGCTACCTATGGCGCTTTGCTGCTGAAATACAGGAAGTGGTACTCAGATGCCACAAAAGAAGAAATGAAAAAGAAAATTAACTCAATGAGCATGCGTTTTCGAAGAGAGTTGAAGAAATTGGATGCTTCTCAAAAGTCTTTGGCCGGTGTAGATGATATCTATGGGCCTTCATTGTGTTTTTTTTATATGCTCTTTTATTCCTGCGTAGTCAATCTCAGTCCATCTGCAAAACGTTTCTGAAATCCATTTGGCCCAGTCCATCGCAACTCAACTAATCATTGAGAATGGCCAAATTTTTTACACTGCAAAAACCAATTTTTGGCCCACTTTCTTTTCTTTTTGCTTTTCTTTGCAAGGCTAAAGCAAGAGCCAACGTTGTTGGTCCGTCCATTACAAACTCTTGGCACAAACTAATGTTTGACAAACAAATTTGAACGTGTATGGGGCACTTAGAAAGGAGGCTCTATGTGTTGTGGCTCTGCAGGTCCTTCTTTTATACTGGCTTGGTAAAAGACGTTATAGTGGTCAAAGATATTGTGTGCATGATATATTTAGAAAAAGTGAAATATTGGGTGAATATCATTATCTTTTGGATGAAGTTCTGAATGACGAAGACAAGAGCATAGATTACACCAGAATGAAGCCATTAACATTTCGTACACTCTTGGAGCTAGTGAGTCCAGCTATCACCAAGCGCACGACAAACTTTCGAAACACTTTGTCCCCAAGGGAACGCCTTTTCATTACTTTGTGGTAACGTGGCTCATCATCATCATCAGAATTACCGTCGTCACCATCATCATTGTCACCAATACCATCGTCGTCGTCGTCATCGTCATCATCATCATCATCATCATCATCATCATCATCATCATCATCATCATCATCATCATCATCATCATCATCATCATCATCCTCATCATCACCATCGTCGTCGTCGTTAATTATTATTAATGGAATTACTACTCTATGAAACACACAAGTCAGGGATTTAAAAAAATTAAATAACATGATACTTTTTCGAAAAAAAGTCACTCTTTTATTGGACAAATTCTACTTTGTGTTTTGTTTTATTTTTCACTTTCATCATTACATCTAGACAAAAAGTTTAGTTAAGATGGAGGACTGGAGAGCTGGATGGCTATGAGTGTAACGGTTTATTATTATTATCATTATTAATGAAATTACTACTCCATGAAACACACAAGTCAGGGATTTAAAAACAAAACA